GAACTCTGGAAGAAACACAGATTCTGTATTCTCTCTATTGTTTCAAAAGTAGAAATAATCTTTAGTTCCTACTTTTTTTAGAAAAAAAATGTTATTTTAAAAAAAGAGAGAACATTAAACGAACAGAAACTGATATGAATAAGGAGAACAAAGAGAGAGAATTAAAAATATTTTCTTTTCTCAAATCAAAGATAGCCATCTCTGCAAGTTCCTTCATCTTCCTCAACCATTCCTCCACTATGGGTAGTGTCAAACCTTTCCACCAGTGGTAAAATCCAATTTTTTTTTACTACCGGTTCTGTGAGCGTGGCTTGGTGGCCGTGGTGTGGCTTGGTGGGGGTGGCAGGGGAAGGATACTGCAAAATCTCCATTCCCACTCCACCTCCAGAGGTGGTATTTGCCGGTTCTCCGAACTACTCAAAATTTCTGCTACCGGTTCTCCAGAACCTGTCAGAACCTGCTGGATTTCACCCCTGCTTTCCACTCCTGAACATCTAACAGTCTTGCTTCAGTTGTCATACAGAAAAACAAAACTTCCATAACTCTTTGCTAGCTGCCTGCCCAGTTTTAGTTCCTATTTGTACTATAAAACCCAGATGTTACTCAAAAGGTGTATTTGTGTATTTTAATCTTGGGTTATGGAAGCACATAAGCAAATCCATCATATTCTGGTTTGGTCAGAAGGCATGGTTCACGGGTCATATTGAGGTAAGGGTTATGGTCCAACCATTTATTTTATTTATTTATTCATTTGCTTGTTTTGTCAAGCACATATTAGATAACAGATATAGATATAAACATGGTTATTAATACATTAAACCGTTACAAATAAAAGGGGGACATTAGGACAGGGACGGTAGGCAAGCTGGTGCATTTATGCATGCCCCTCTTAGGAATGGGGTGAGGTCAACAGTAGACAGTCTAAGGTTAAAGTTTGGGGAGTTTGGGGAAGAAACCACAGAGTCAGGTAGCGCATTCCAGGCATTGACTACTCAGTTGCTGAAGTCATATTTCCTGCAATCAAGTTTGGTGTAGTTTACCTTAAGTTTGTATCTATTGTGTGCTCTTATATTGTTGTGGTTGAAGCTGAAGTAGTCATTGATAGGAAGGACATTGTAGTGATTAATTTTATGTACTACGGTTAGGTCGGACCAAAAGCGGCGTAGTTCTAAGTTGTCTAAACCCAAAATTTCAAGTCTGGTGGCATAAGGTATTCTGTTGCGAGCGGAGGAGTGGAGGACTCTTCTCGTGAAATACTACTGGACTCTCTCAATTGTATTAATGTCCGATATGCAGTGCGGGTTCCAGACAGATGAGCTGTATTCGAGAATTGGTCTAGCAAATGTTTTGTATGCTCTAGTTAGCAGTACAGTATTACCAGAGAAGAATATCATGGATATATTAATTATATTATGGATATAATATACCCATGATACAGTATATTAGAATTTGCAAAATGTGATCATAACCTACTCTAGCATGTGTGTGGAAACCCATTCTATTTGTGTTCTGTTCCTTTTTCTCTCTGTGTTGCCCAGATGTGGATGAGAGCAAGATGACCTCAGAATATTCTTGCAGGAGGGGGAGGTTCTGTGAAGCATTGCTGCTTTTAACCTTTTGAGTATCCAGGAACCATCCCAGCCATCAGAAGAAAAACCAAATATCTTTCTTTGCCTTTGATTTTTATTTTTCTATTTCTTTTGCAAAACAAGGGATTTTGGACAGCCCTGAGGCAACATTATTTTAAAATGTCTTTTAACAGGGGTGGGTTCTACTTACCGTTACAACCAGTGGTGGGTTGCTCCTGGTTCGGCCCGGTTCGGCCGAACCGGTAGCGGTGACGATGTGACGTCACTGAACAGGTTCTCTGTGAATGGGACCTGCGTCCTCCCGCCTGCCCCTGCTTTATTCCTACCTTTATTTCTTGGTTTTTAGCCCAGCTGATAGGCGCGGCAGAGTGGATTGCCACACCTCAGCTGGCCAGAAACCTAACGCGCTTGTGCAGAGTGCAAGATTGGCGAGTGTGCGAGCAAAGCCAGCATGCGCATGGCGATCACGCGCAAAGCGCGTGCATGAAGAGAACTGGTAGTAACACCGGTTGGAACCCACCACTGTTTACTACCAGTTCGCAACAGGACCTCACGCGCGCTTCAGCGCATGCGCCAAACCTGCGCATGTGCAGATCACCCATGATGACGTCTTGGCGGGTGGGTGGAGTCTTCCGCCGGTTTTACTACCGGTTCTATAGAACCGGACCGAACCGGGAGCAACCCACCACTGTCTTTTAAGTAAAGAAAGGATCAAAAGAACTCCAAGAGAATGGGAATAGACTTTAAGGAGCAGGCATAAAGCCGAGTCTGCCCCCCCCCAAAAAAATTAATAATTTTATTACAGCTCAAAAATGCAATGAAAAATGAGTAATGCAAACTAAGAAAAATATAAGAAGTCAAGAAGAAGAAAAATGCAAAAGGTGGAATATTTTCTCTCCGATGAGCCCCCGTGTCCTTCCAGGTTGTTTACTCTTCCTTTGTTTGATGGTCCAAAGAGGCTCCCTTCCCTGCCCCTCACCTGAAATTCTCTCTTGCAGTCTAAACTATTTTATCACCCTGTTTTGCTCTATGTGTCAGTGCAATCTCGCACACCCTCTGGGGACAAAAGATAGCTTTGTAGCCCCAAGGAGCTTCTGACACCAGAATACAAAGGCCAGCTTGTGCAAAAGAGCCCTGGTTGGGGAAGGGAAGGAGATGAGGGGAGGGGCAGTCTCTATTTGCTGAGCCAGATGGGGGTCTATCATGCTGTGCTGAGTTATGAGGATGGGATCCATGCTGTCTCCAGAGCGTGCAAATCTCCACGTGCAAAACTGCTGTGGAGGTCCTGAATTCGAGGGTGAACCTCTCTCAGCCAAAACGGGGTTGTTAGGAGAATAAAACGAAGGAGGAAAGAACCCGTGGCTTCAAACTGGAAGAAGCAGGAACGTTGTATCTGTAGGTTTGGCAAGTGTTGTGCTCTCTTTTGCAGGTCCAGGTGTGGGACACAGCAGGTCAAGAGAGGTTCCGGAAGAGCATGGTGGAGCATTACTACCGCAACGTCCACGCTGTGGTGTTTGTCTACGACGTCACAAAAATGGCGTCCTTCCTCAACCTGAAAAACTGGATCGAGGAGTGCAACGGCCACGCCGTCCCGGCTCTCGTCCCCAAAGTGCTCGTGGGAAACAAGTGTGACTTGCGGGATCAAATCCAAGTCCCGTCCAGCATGGCCCTGAAATTCGCCGATGCTCACAATATGCTTTTGTTTGAAACCTCTGCCAAGGACCCCAAAGAGAGTCAAAACGTGGAGTCTATTTTTATGTGTCTGGCCTGCCGGCTGAAGGCCCATAAGTCTCTGCTCTATAGGGACATGGAGAGGCAAGGGAAGGGACAGAAAATAGAGCTGGCGCCGGCCTCTGGCAATAGGAACGCCTGTCCTTGCTGAAGGGCAGTCTGGACTGTTGAACCGGGAGTGGTGGGGAGGGGCCGGGCAGGTGGTTTTGTGTGCCTCAATAAACTGAATCAACGTTGCTCGTTTCCAGTGAATTCCATGTTCAATTAATAATAAACATTTGTATGGCTCACACTTGGTTTGGGTGTAGCTTTTTCTCTGCCCCCCCCCCCCCCGTTGAAACCCGTTAACGGTCATTGAGGGGTCCTTGGTGCTCTCTGAAGTTGGCTGTTTTCTTTCGACGTTTCATTACTCAAACTAGGTAACGTCATCAGTGCCCAAACTACCCAGTAGGTAACATCATCAACATTGATGGTGTTAACTACTAGTAGTTTGGGCAATGAAATGTCTGCAAGAAAACAACCAAACTCAGAGAGCACCCAAGACCCTATACTCCTCCTCCTCCTCCTCCTCCTCCTCCTCCATCATTCCACAAACCACACTCCCTTCTAGCACTGATGATGTTACCTAGTTGGGTAATGAAAGTCTTCAAGAAAACAACCAAGCTCAGAGAGCACCAAGGACCCTATAGTTCTCCTCCTCCTCCTCCTCCTCCCCCCCACATTCCACAAACCACACTCCCTTCTAGCACTGATGGTGTTACCTAGTTGGGTAAAGAAAACAAGCTCAGAGAGCACCAAGGACCCCTCATATCAACCCTGAGCTACAAATATTTTCCTTTATTGGATTGTAATTGAGCCCACAATTTCAGTTGTGACCATCATAAAGTGGGTCAATATGGGACCATGCCCGATTTTATGACCTTGCTGCAGCAATCGTTAAACAAACGTGGCAGGCGTGAAGTATAAAATTCTGAATTAAAAAAGGCCGCGTTGATGCCGTGGTTAGAATGCAGTACTGCAAGCTAACTCTGCCCCTGCCAGGAGTTAGATCATGATCGGCTCAAGGTTGACTCCGTTTTCCATCCTTCCCAGGTCAGTAAAATGAGGACTCAGATTGTTGGAGGAAATAGGCTGACTCTGTTTAGAGAAGGCTGTAAAACACTATGAATTGGTATATTATTCTAAGTGCTATGGCTATTGCTAAAATTGTTCGCTATGGGACAGTTTTTGCTGGAAACCCTAAGTCCCCTCCCAGTCACTCCTCACCTGGCCTGAGAAGGTAAGGGTGATGGCAGGGAATGGAGAAGTGGCCAGGGCAGAGAGAGAGAGAGAGAGATACAGAGAGAGGAGGAGAGAGAGAGAGACATAAAGAGATACAGAGAGAGAGAGGGGGGAGGGAGGGGGAGAGAGAGATGTCAAAAGGTTCCCGGTGTTTTTTAACAACTGGTTCTCTACCCTAATGACCAGCTGGGAAGGTGGCTGGCGGGGAGGGTGTCATATGACTGGTGGAAGTGAGTGACATCGAGTTGGCCACGCCCACTCAGATTTTGTGGCTCCCAATGTTTTCTTTTCTGTGGGAAACGGGTCCAAATGGCTCTTTGAGTGCTTAAGCTTGCAGACCCCTGCCCTAAGTAAACACCAGTTTCCAACAAAACTGTAAATTGTGTTCAGATGACTACAAGATGCTGCAAACGGTCGTAGATCTGTGTCGGTAGTTGAGAGTCCCAAATGCTGTCACGGGGATGGAGGTGGCATGGATATCGTAACTGGGTTGTAAGCAGTGGTGGGATTCAGCCAGTTCGCACCACTTCGGGAGAACCGGTTGTTAACTTTCTGAGCAGTTTGGCAAACTGGTTGTTGGAAGAACTCATTAGGGCAGAGAACCGGTTGTTAAATTACTTGAATCCCACCACTGGTTGTAAGTCCTATTTTTGGGGTCCATTGTAACTTTGAAGGGTTGCTAAGTGACCAGTCATAAGTCAAGGATTATCAGTATGTGTTGTCTGGGCTGCTCAGTTTCTCTGGCTAAATTCACCTGACAATGACCCGGTTTACACTTGATGCTAAATCTTATTGTTAGTTTATTGAATGAACCATGTTCAATTGGACAAGATATAGCTTATCAATGGGGGGGAAAAAATCACATCACGGCCTATGAATCCAGGTAGCAAGGACAATTTAAGGCACATTTTCCTGACTGGTTGAAGGCTGAAGTCCAATTACTTGTTTTGCTTGCAAACGATCTTGCAAAAGTTCTGACACAAGCATGTGACGCCAATAAGAACATCTTAACGGAGCTAAGTTGTGTGGCTTTGCGCACCTCCTTACACCAGACCCATCAACAAGAGGTCTGAACGGCCCTGGTTCTTGTAGCCTCTTTTTAACGTTTGAAAAATATATTCTTGTTCGTAGATGAGAAGTCCCTTCAGCAGACATTTATAGTCTCATGTAAGATACATTCTTAGATTTGTGGCCACCCATATCCGAAGGGCATCAGGCTACGAGTGTTTATATGTCTTAACAATTCATCAATTCTCTGTCTCTCTCTTTTTTTTAAATCAAGTTTTATTGATCTTTTCTTTCACACACATTTTTTATGAACAGAGTATTGGTTGTATCATATCTTATACAACTTATCATATCCAATTTCATTTTACCTAGTTACAAATTTTGCCAAAATATTCTTTTTCCATACTTTTTTATCTTATCTTAATACTTCTATACTTATTATATAAACATCACCCTCCGCCCTCAAATCCTAGTTTGTTAACATTATTTCAGTTAGTTATCTTATCCATTGTTAATCATATATATTTTCTTTTAACTTTCATATTGATTTGTTCTTCATCCTAATAAATTTGAACATGTTCTGGGTTGCCTTTCTACCATTTCATCTCCCTTGTTTTACAACAATTCTTCTCCTTCTCCTCTCTTTCCCTCCCCTTCCTTCTATCCTTTTCTACTTTCTTCTTTCCTCCTCTCTACTTCCCCTTCCTTTCCCCCCTCCCTTCCTCACTTTCTAACCTTCTCTCCTACTCTTATTTCCCCTCCCTTTCTTCCTCTCCTTTTCCCTTTCTTCTATTCCTCTCTCCTTCCTCTTCTCCTTCTTCCCTCTACTCCTACTTCCATTCTCTCCATTGTTGTATTCATTTTCAATTCAATATTTTCCACAACCCCTCCGTCTCTTTTTTTTAATCATGATGCTTAAGGTGATGGGTCTGCTTATCAAAACTTGCTTTATTGGTTTACCAACAGTAATTGGAAGGAGAAATTTTGTATTCTCTGCAATGGAAATGTAAGCTGTCCTTAGAGTACCAGGAGACTAAGACCTTCACTCGTCTTTCTTATATGCATTGCTTATCAAGCTATTCAAGCCATCCAGTCTCATTCTGTCTTTACTAATACACCAGTAGATCTGATATACTGTAGTTTAATTTTTTTGCTGGTCCAGCTAGGTAGTAAGCAACCAGTTATTCTAACTCTGAGATTTATTTGGATCTTTCCCATGCTTTTTTCTTTTTATGCCAACGTCTGGTTATTTTCTGAGATTTCATTGATCAGAACTATAAAAACTGTTTGAAAAATATCAGGGCTAGTGGCCACATTCACATTGTTCAGGAAGAATTTTAAGAATGAATGATGCATGGTAGGCAATAAATTCATATGCACACGTGATGTGCCATTAAAGCTACAAGAAGTGATTTTCGGAGTATTTCGACCGCAAATGCAATCCGTTTGTAAGTTTCCAAGGCGAACTGCAGAATCTTTCACCATCGAGAAGCGAAGTGCTAGACCGGCGACCTCAGATAATCCGATCTCTTCTGCGCGGAATTTCAGCTTTGGGTCGCTCTACCATGTCTATCTCTATGATTCCCTGAGGAACTCCAGAGGGGAAGAGAAATAGGAGAAGAAACGGAAGGAAAGGAAAATCGCCATTCATTACAGCCCAGGAGGCTCAGCCTATCGGAGAGAGGGAGAGGCGGGCTCACGCTTGCGCAGTCCAGCGGGCTATAGGACGCATGTGCAAATCCAGGAAGACGCTTTGAGGATGAAGTAAGTGGCAGTTGGATAATAACAAAAATTAATAGTAGCATTTTTTTTTTATGAAAAAGGGAAAAGTGGGAGCAGGGCTTCTTTGGGGATAAGTTTTCAACTTCGGAACTCTATGGTGAATATAGCGTGGAATCAATGCAATACTAATGCGGAAGAGTGTTTCTGGGCATATACAGAGTGCGTTTTCATCTAGCAATATTAGAATAACAAAGAGTTGGAAGGGACCTTGGAGGTCTTCTAGTCCAACCCCCTGCTAAGGCAAGAGGCACTAATAATTGCCTTTTTTTTTTCTTTTGCTCCAGTTAAGGATAATTTTTGATCTACTAGGATGAGTATATCATATATGTGTATATAGGGTAGAGGGCAAATATAGTATCAGTGGGCTAAAAGTCTGTAGAGATTCTCAGCCATCCAGGTCATGGTGGTCCCAAAGGTGCTTTTTCAGGAGGCGAAAGAAAACAAAGAAACAAAACAAAACAAAAAAATAAGGAGCCTTGGTGGCACAGCGGACTAAACTGCTGTTAAAGTAGCACCAGCTGCCTGCAATTACTGCGAGTTCAAATCTCACCACCCTCAAGGTTGACTCAGCCTTCCATCCTTTTGAGGTAGGTAAAATGAGGACCCGGTTTGTGGGGGCAATAAGCTGACTTTGTATAAAATAGAACACCGCTCAGGGAGGGCCAAAAAGCCCTACTAAGCAGGTATATACAAAAGTATGAAGGCTATTGCTTAACGCATTGTAAGCTGCCCTGAGTCTCCGGAGAAGGGCGGCATATAAATCGAACTAATAAAATAAATAAAAATAAAAATAAATAAAATAAAATAAAATAAAATAAAATAAAACCCAAGAAAGTCCAGTTGCCTCCTGAAGAAAAACACCTTTGGGACAACCATGACCTGGATGACTGAGAATCTCTACAGACTTTTAGCTATACAATTTGGGATGAACACCCTTGGAATGGTGTGGGAGTAGGAATGGATTTCCAGAGGGAAATAAATTGCAGACTACAGGAACCATTTGCACTACTCAGGTGACCCTGAAGACACAGATAAACCTCCAGGTGGCCTCAAGGACTCTCTAAAAAGGATGCAAAGGACCAGCTGTCTGCAAGGAATATAAATCCTTCCATTCCCCACTATCGTGTCAGAGCTGAAGAAGCTTCTTAGATGAGAAGCAAAATGTCTTCAAAGAAAAAAACGAAGTCCAGTTGCTTCCTGAAAAAGCACCTGTGGGACAATCATGACCTGGATGGCTGAGAATCTCTACAGACTTTTAGCTATACAATTTGGGATGAACATCCTTTGAATGGTGTGGGAGTAGGAATGGATTCCAGAGGGAAATAAATTGCAGACTACAGGAACCATTTGCACCACTCAGGCGACCCTGAGGACACAGATAAAGCTCCAAGTGCTTCAACGACCCTCCAAAAAGAGGTCATGCTTTCAGATCTATATGTAGTTTTATCTTTTTTTTCCAGCCATGTGTGTATTTTTGTCCAATATTTTCTTGCACTTGGGCATGTCCACCGCATGTGATAATATGAACCAGATGTTTGATTACACTTCCAACATTTATCCGATCTATTTTTAAGCATAAACAGAGATATTTTTGCTGGGCATTCTGCCAGAAAAATATGATAAAAAGACTGCATATTTGATTTTGCATATATTAACGGCAGCTACAGTTGTATTTGTGCAACAATGGAAAAGTGATGAGATCCCGTCTGAAGAGGATGTACTTAAAAAAATATTAGATTGTGCGGAAATGGATAGATTAACACTTGCTGTTAAGAATAAAGAAGAAACTGAATATTTTTTTGATATGGGACACATTTGATCAATGGCTGGATAATAGAAACAGAAGTTAGAAAGAAAGAAATATAAAGGGAGGAAATGGTACAGAGGAGAGTCGTTAAAGAAGATGATGTTAAATGTTAAGTATTAAGGTTATTATATCATACTGTTATTATATTAATATGAAGGTGATGACTAAATATAATGAAGATGTATAAATATGACTAAATATAATTGTACCCGGAATACACACTGTTTGATGAAAATTGAGTGTTATATAAATAAAGCAAATAAAACATTAAAAAAATAAATAAAAGGAGGTCATGCAAATTTCCAGCTGTCTGCAAGGAATATAAATCCTTCCATTCCCCACCATCCTGTCAGAGTTGAAGAAGCTTCTTGGATAAGAAGCGAAACGTCCTCAAAGGAAAAAAACAAAACAAAAGTTCAGTTGCCTCCTGAAAAAGCACCTTTGGGACTATCAGTGGGCTAGAAAATGGGGATGCCCCGGTTCTAATAGGTGTGTCCATTCAGACCACCTTTTTCAGCTGGCCTGGTGTGGTGTGGGCAGTAGAGGTGGAGAAATAAAATGTATGTATGTAACACTGATCTCTGGGATGAAGTTGGGATAAAATGAGTCAAGGTAAGTAATTATTGGGATCACCATCTCTTCCTGGAAGGCAAGAAGGAATTGTGGAAGGAATTTAAAAGGAATTGTGAACTGTAGATTAAGACTCATTGTTTTTTTATTCTTCTTTCCTTCTCCAGCCCATTAACCAAAGTGAAGCTGATCAACAAACTGAATGAGCGTGAAGCAGAGCTGGGAGTGCAGGAGAAGGTCTCCTGGCACGCCGAGTACAGTGACAGTGCCTGGGTATTTGTGGGTGCGTGGTTATGTTGTGGCCCACCAGCGGCCAGCAGAGCTGGCAGCAGATTTGGACAGTGAGGAGGTTGGGGAGGAACGTGGGCCAGTCCTGGAGTCTGGGGAAGGTTCGGAGGATGGCTCTGAGTCAGAGGCAGAGAGGGAGCCAAGGCCATCTGGTAGTTCTTTGCTGCCTCTGGAGTCTCCAGAATCTGACATCAGCGAGGCAGAAGAACAGCATGAAGTTGTTCCCAGTGTGCGCATGCGCAGATCTGCCAGGAGACAGGAACAATTAAGAAAACAGGGTTGACTTGGGAGTAAGGCTTGGAGATGATTGGCCCCATCCATAAGACAAAAGAGAAGTGAATGGGACGTGAGCTTTTGCAGGAAGCAATTAGTTCATCTGGTCGGTAAAAGCTGTGGGAAAGTTCTGTTTGACTCTGTGCTAAGTTTGGCATTGCCCTGCGTGTGGCAATTAGTTCTCTGGCAGCATTCCAAGGGAGATAAGGTGGGTGTTTGTAAACACTCCCCTGCCAGACTGTTTGATAAACCTTTTGGACCGGGAATGACAATAATTCACAGCCGTATGAATTAAAGAGGTTTGCTGGGATTAAGTTTGTACTGTATACTTTCTCAGGAAGCCTAGGTCAGAACAGGTTGTGCCTAGAAGCATCTTCCCCTGTCAAGCCCCTGCAGCATCGTAAACTATGATTAGTCATACAGGAAAATGGCTTAACGTTTAATAATCACTTCCCTTCTTTTCTCCTTCTTAGGTGGATTGCCATATGAACTGACCGAAGGGGACATTATCTGTGTATTTTCACAGTAAGTAAGAACAAGGAAAACTTAAGTTCAGAAAATGAGAAGGTGTATTGCTTTAATGTTGCTTTTCAATTAAAACCAAAATATAATGCAAATAACAACAGTGAAGGGGGAATAAAAGGGTAAGTTGCGAAATTAGCTTTAAAAGTTTACAGTGAAATCACATACATCTGTTTGGAAGCGGCTGCTATTGAACTGAATAGTGTTTTCTTCAAAATCGTAGTTTTACCAATGATTTTGCCAGCCCTTGCCTTTACCTACTGCTAGGGAGGTGCTGTGCTGTTACAGGCTTTTCAGTATAAATGTGGAATTCCCTCTTGGGAAAATCCACGTGGACACCATTTTTTTTTTTTAAAAAAAAGCTCTGAACAGTAAATTTTATTTTAGCTAAACTGATGCCTTTAGTTTTTACTAAAAGCATCAGTTTAGCTGAAACAAATATGAAGATAATAATAATCTTGTGTTTTGTTGGAGAAAACCCAGGCATTTTGGAACAGCATCTATTCCAGGGCAGGTTTTTTCCTGAAATTATTTGTTAAAGCAGATGTTTAGAAAATAAGTAATATTCTTGCATTGCTTTTGGGAGGCTTATGAATGCTTAAAGGTTACCTAGTTGATTGAAACTGCTGGATGAGATGTAATCTAGTAAAATAGCTCTTACTCAGTGTATGGAACAGGGCTACAGTCTTTAAGCCCTACATCAACATCTGTATTTTTTTAAAATCATCCCGTGCTTGTGCCATTTCCTTTTTTTTTGTTCTTTAGACCCAAGGCTAAATATTGTCAACTTCCTTTTTTTCTGTTCAGGTATGGAGAAATTGTGAACATAAACCTGGTGCGTGATAAAAAGACAGGGAAATCCAAAGGTTTCTGCTTCATTTGCTATGAAGATCAGCGAAGCACTGTTCTTGCAGTTGATAACTTGAATGGGATCAAGGTTAGTTTAGCCATTGGAGATCCTTTGGGTATTTTGCTGCTCAGATACAGCAAAACTGGGATGCAGGTTCACACAGAATATATATATAGAAACACCAAGGCTTATGAAAGGATGCAGTGAATTTATGCAGGGCTTCCTGGATATAGCAGAAAGAGAACAGCAGGCAGAAAATCCTCTTTTCATATCGGCAAAAATAAAGCCTCTTTCATAATAATTCAAAGATTATCTCAGGCTTCACTGTGTCTTAAGACAAAATCGTAATTAGTGTATATTTTTGATGGTTACCTGCTCATATACCACATTTTTCATACTATAAGATGCTCCGAAGTATAAGACGCACCTAGCTTTTGGGGAGGAAAATAAGGGGGGAAAAAAGTCTGTGTCTGCCTCTGAGCAATTTACCTCGTTGTAGCAAACAGCCTGGTCAGCTTCAGCACAGCCTGATTTAGCACAAGCAGCTGATTGGCGGTTGGATCTGCCTCCTGGAATACCACCTATCAGCTGTTCAAGGCTGCGGGGATCCCCACCATTGCTGCTGCTGCCTATCGCCGCCTCCGTGCACCCGATTTTTGGCCTCCGCGCGTCCCGTTTTCCCCGCCGCCTGGAACAAGCCAAAAACGGGATGTGCAGAGGCCGAAAATGGGACGCGCAGAGGTGGCGATAGGCGGCAGCAGCGACAGTGGTGGAGATCCCTGCAGACTGGAACAGCTGGTAGGCGGTATTCCAGGAGGCCGATCCAACCACCAATTAGCACAATTTAGCACAATCAGCTGCTTGTGCTAAATCAGGCTGTGCTGAAGCTGACCTTGCTGTTTGCTGCAACAAGGTAAATTGCTGGGAAAGGGTGGGGGTCGAAGGGTGGGCGGGGCTTCGGCAACATTCACTGTATAAGACACACACTTCCACCCACTTTTGGGGAGCGGGGAAGTGCATCTTATACACTGAAAAATACGGTAGCTTCAATGGGAAAAAACATTGTTTCAGAATGTTTGTAATTTCATGTTTGCAGATAAAAGGAAGGACAATCCGTGTGGACCACGTGGCCAACTACCGGCCACCCAAAGATTCCGAGGACACGGATGAGATTACGAAGGCTCTCCGAGAGAAAGGATGCGGTATTAAAACCCCTCCTCCAAGTTCAGCTGAACCCTCAGAAGATGAGGAAGTGGAAGTAAAAAGGCACAAGAAAGGTGAGAAGTCTTTTTTTTTTTTGGTCTTTCTGGCCAGAATTATACAACCTGCAAAACTCATAGTTCGTTTAATCACATTTGATTAAGTCACAGCTGACTTGATTCACACAACGTGCGGTGCTACAATGTGTCTTATTTGAACAAGGCTGTTGTGTGTTTCTATGCTGCCTGCAAATCTCAACTTTAAACCTGTAGGAAGCTTCCAGATGTAGGAATACACAAGGTGTGCAGCATTTCAATGACGAAGAATGACCTGGAGGTCCAGAATCCTGTTAGTTTTCTGGCTTTTGAATTATAACTGATTAGAGTGGATTGTACCTGCAGAGTGTGCGGTGACCTAGAGGTGGGGCTCTCGCCTCACAATCAGGAGGCTGTGAGTTTGATCCTAGGTAGAGCAGATATTTCTTTCTCAGCACGTATTTTTCAAAGTATAGGATGCACCGGACTATAAGACACAGCTTAGTTTTTTGGGGGAAAAAATAGGATTAAAAAAAAATCTGCCTACCAGGTATTCATCTGGCTAGCGTCCTTAGTCTGCTTCAGCACATTAGTTTGCTGGTTTTTTATCCCCTGCTTAGGGATAAAAAAACAGCTTCTAAGGCACAGCTGAGAGGAAGCAACAATGAGAAAAGCAGGCAAAGCATGGGGAGATTGCTTCACTCGACTAGCGCCGAATTAGGGCTGAAAAAAAGCTAAAGAACAGCTGAGAGTCGGAGCAAAGCATGGAGTTAAAGCACAGTGGAGAGTCAAAGGAGCAGGCAAAGCTGGGAAGATTGCTCGCTAGTGCATCATTAGCACCTCGTTAAGGCTGAAAAAAGCTTCAAAAAAGCTACATTCGGAGTATAAGATGCATTCAAATTTTCAGCCTCTTTTAGGGGGGAAAAAGGTGTGTCTTATACTCCGAAAAATACATTATATCTGCTGAACAAAACTCTGCATTGGCGACAGGAAAGGCATCCAGCCAGTAAATGCTCTGCTAGCTCCATTCAGTTGCCCAGACTCTACCCCGTAAGGGATTATGGGATTATTAAATGATGAGAGTGGATTGTACCTGCATCAATATACATGCGGTTTGTCAGCCTCAATTAACTGGAGGATTTTTAGAGAACCAAAAACATCTTGGCATGAAGGAGAAAAGTCCAATTCCCTATTTTTATGCGACATAAAATAAAATTGAGCATTGTTTCTCATTCTGAGCAACTTTTAAGATGCCTGTACTTTGGCTCGCACACTTTCCCAGCTAAAATTTGGGGAATTGAAATCCACACATTTTAAAGTTGTTTGAAACTGAGCAAAAATGAAATAGAAAGTGCTGGTCATTTCCGTTAGAGGAGATACAATAAATATTAGGGTTAACAAGTCAACATTTCTGGCTAAGCAGGAGAAATACAAAATTAAAGAGAGAAAAAAAAATGGTCAGTAGATTGGGGCCAGATGGTTTTAGCAGCATTCCCTCTCAAAGCGTTTTGAAAGAAAGCTGCATGCCATTTGAAAGCTAGGAACAAGTTTCTGGAAAGATGGAATATCAGGAAATATATAAAGGAGGCAGGGTGAAATCTACTTACCTTCCCTATCAGTTCGGAAGTGCACGCGTGCGCGTGGACCCTCTGCGCATGTGCAGAGGGTAAAAAACAGGTTACTTCCTGGTTAAAACCAGGAAGTAACGACGACTGGACGGGTGGGCGGAGCCTCTTGCTACCGTCACTACCGGTTCTCCGAACCACCCACCACCATCGCTACTGTTACGGCCCGAACCGGTCCGAACCAGTAGCATTATCACCCCTGAAAGGAGGCCTAGAAAAGCGTCTGAAGTGAGAGGTTTGTGGAAATCCTTTTGATGGCGTTTCTTGTACTTTCAGAAAAAAAGAAAAAGAAGAAGAAAGAAAAGCGAGAGCATCGGAAACATCCGAAAGAGGAACCTGCTACAGGTGTGCTTTTCTCCAAATCCAAGATTAAAGTGGAAAAAGAGGACCCGGATTATGAACGCTATGCTAGGACGAACCAGGAAACCTGGGGCAGCACATCTGGGCACCGCCACCAGAGTAGGATGTCCCAAGGACACGAGCTCAAATATGAGAGCGGGGCAGAGCGACCTCGAGAAAGAGGCTCAGAAAGGGACAGGCACGAGCGCAGAACGCCCTTCAGCGAGCACAAGAAAACAGAGGCCGTGAAAGATAGACACTACTCATCAGGAAGCAGATCACGTGATCGTTCAGAAAATAGAGAGAAGCCTTCCTGGGAGAAATCCTCAAATCGTTATTAACTCAACTGCTGTGGTCTCTCCTCGCACATGACAGAAAGAGCTGCTGTAGGCTGTGTGGTCAGAGCACTGGCTGTGTGAAATAGGCAGGGGGGACAAGCGCAAAATTAAAATTTGAAAACGCAGGAGGAAACTCGGGTGTGCTCTTTGGAGCAGCGGTTTGTCTTTCCAGAAAGGAAAACCACAAAAAAATCCCCCCAAAAAACTAGGTGCTATTTTGCCCCCTAATTGCAGTAAAGGTCTGATATTCCAGATGCAAAGCAGGAGTGTGAGCCTTCCGTCCCCCACCTCAAAATTTAGGCTTTAATAATTCCACTTTTGAACCACTGCTATGTCTGCAGCTTCCCGTGCCAAACTCATTTCTGCTGCTCCGTCTTTTGCATTTATCCTCCTTAAGTTGCGGTACAGAGGCGTGATGGCTTCAAAGGGACCGGAGAATAGAATAGACTAGACTAGAATTCTTTATTGGCCAAGTGCGATTGGACACACAAGGAAGTTGTCTTTGGTGCATACGCTCTCGGAGTACAGAAAAGAAGAGATACATTCGTCAAGAATCATAAGGTACAACACTTAATGATAGTCCTAGGGAAACAGTCAATATAAATCTTAAGGATACCAGCAACAAGGTTACAGTCATACAGTCATAAGTGGGAGGAGATGGGTGATAGGAACGAAAAGAAGATTAATAGTAGTGCAAACTTAGTAAATAGTTTGACAGTCTTGAGGGAATTATTTGTTTAGCAGAGTGATGGCATTCGGGAAAAAACTGTTCTTGTGTCTAGTAATTCTGGTGTGCAGCGCAGTGTGCAGAGAAGATCTGTGCTCTAGCAGTTTTGAGTCCTACTACCGTGGGATGGGGTGAGCTCCCGTCCCTTGCCTCTGCTCCTGCCAACCTAGCAGATCAAAAGCCATGTAATTGCAAGTAGATAAATAGGTACTTTTGTGGGAGGGCAACAGTGTTCTGCGTTTTGCCGTATGTTTTGCACTGCAGCAGGCTGTCATGCTGGCCACATGACCGCCAAAATGTCGTTGGGCAACACGGGCTCAGTGGCTTGAAGAACGAGATAAGAGCACCGCCTCCTAAAGTGCTACGACCTACGAAGTAAAACCCGCAGGAACACCTTTGCCTTTGCTTCGTTGTAGTATAACTATGTCAAGGGATGAGCAGTCTTTTCAAGACAGGGGCTGCATTCCCTTAGCTAAGCGATCAGGATACGCACTCCTGAGCTTGACTGGAGCAAAGCAGAAACTTCGGTTCATGTTCTCTCGTGGTGGGATTCAGCCGGTTCGCACTGGTTCAGGCAAACCCGTTGTTAAATTACACACACACACACACTGCTATCAAAGTGGATCCTGGGCGCTACACTGTAATGGAGAAACGAGCAACGGAGCAGCCGGCGCGAGGGAAGAAGGTTGCTTGATTTCCCTCCTTTTTCTCCCTGCTCCTCCTTCCCTCGTGTCGGCTGCTCCGTTTCCCATTTCTCAACTGCAGCGCAGCGCCCAGGATTCACTCCGATAGCAGGAGGGGGGAGGGTAATTTAACAACCGATTTGCCCTGGATCATGTTGGCCATCGTGGAAGGCTCGTCCCACATATGTGTGGCAGAGCTGGAGGATGGGCCACGCCTCCCACGACCGCCAACCTGACCCTGGGTGAACCGGTTGTTAAAATTATTTGAATCCCACCAGTGGTTCTCTCTCATCCCAACATTCATTCATTCACCTTGCACACAGGTGCACCCATACTTCTACTCCTGTCTGGGTGTGTATCTGCCAGTTTATATTCTCTCACCCTCTCTTTATGTTTGCTGGCTCCTTTCCTGCTTTATTTTTTCTGTTTTTGTTTTACCGGCAGTGGTGGAAAATAAAGACAACACGCTGTTTCTGTTTGCAGCAGCAGCTGATTTATTTTTTTCCCCTTGATAAGGGAGATGTGCCGTTTGCAGCCTTATCAGGAGCAAAAGGCCCCAGGGAGTGTGACTTAGGCCCTTATCGCCACTAGCTAGGCTACTGAACACATTTTAGATGCCCATGCTTTTGAACATTAGTCAAAAACCGCATATCAATACAAAATGCAGCTGCCCACCTCCTGGGAAGCGATAATCCCCAGTGTGATGAGCATTGCATTGACTTCCAGGAGCATTTCAAAGTGCTGACTGTAATTGATGAAGCCCCTTTGATCCCAGATTTCTTCAAGACTGCCTCTGTATTGAAATTCACTTCTTCTTGACCTTTCTCCCAAGTGGAGATGCAAAGGTTAGGGGAGGTAGGAGCTCACCAATAATGTGCTTTGGGAGGGAGGGGGCTCTCACCTTGCAGAACAGTTCCTCCCCCTTCCCCAAGTGGCTTGGTTGTTATTCACCTTGGCATCCTTGTAGGGTTGTAGGTAGTTAAGCAGAACTTTTCTAGGCCTGGCTAGGTGACTCAGTGGCTAAGACAGAGCTTGTCGATTAGAAAGGTCGGCAGTTTGGCAGTTCGAATCCCTAGTATAGATCTCCTGCACGAGCAGGGGGTTGGAGTAGATGACCTCCAAGGTCCAACTCTGTTACTGTTACAAATAACTTGCTGTGCACATTGGGAATGACAATGGTGAGGGTTATTGTTCATTGGCCAATGAACACTGCCTCTTCGTAATATGTTTGGTTTCTCTGCTGCTATACTGTCATGAGCTGGTCTGATTTGGCAATGCATAAATAGCTGAGCAGAGGAAATATGCTAGATGTGAATTGCCAGTGGGGCACAAGCCCTGGCTGGATTTAGCCCCCACCGAAAGGCCTATAATTCTTTTATTCTTATTCTTTTTAAATAAGACTATCATGAGTCTTGAGCTCCAAATGATCAGATTGTAATTTTGAATATGCCAGCGGGACATCACTAAACACACCAAATGTATTACCGTATGATGTATTCATTCTATTTTTAATTTAAAAATAGCGGGGAAAAACAGATCCATGAATTTGTCTTGGCTTCCCCACCCTTTTCGAGAGTGGGTAAATACATAAAGTAGAAATACAACAAGCAGCACACTTCTACCCTAAACAGTGAAGACCTAAAACATTTAATCAACAGAAGAAGATAATGCGTTTTGGATAAAGATATCTTTGAATCCCACCCAGTGGTGGGATTCAGCCAGTTCGCACCTATTCGGGAGAACCAGTTGTTAACTTTCTAAGCAGTTCGGAGAACCAGTTGTTGGAAGAAATCTTATTTTGTCTTTTTCCATTTATAGGGCTAATCCTGTAAAGAAGGCAGGAAGGAAACATTCTGGTGGTGTTTCTAGCCTAGCCTTTATTGCCCTGCTTACAGAAACTGCCTCTCCGCTTAACCCTTATTACATTGTAACAGCTAAGGTGAAGTGCCCATCGACGTGATTGACGTTGGGTTGGCCATGCCCATACAGTCACATAACCACCAAGCCACACCTACCCAGCTGGTCATTAGAGCAGAGAACCGGTTGTTAAATTATTTGAATCCCACCACTGATCCCACCCCCTACAGAGAAGAGATTCATATTTTATTAAGAATTCTAGGATATTTTGATTTCAGAATTCGCAAACCCCGCTGCCCTTCTAACACTGATGGGTCATGAAATGTCAACCCGGAGCGACAAATATTCTTTTCTGTTTTATTGACAGAAGAGAGATGCCTTTCGCGAGGGGTTGGCAAGTGCCGATAAACCGACGGGAGCGAGAAAGCCATAAAGTGCGACAATCCAAAATATGTTTGCAAATGACGGTTTGCACAACTCGTTTTCTGAGGCTGCCCGCTGCACACTGAACCCTAAACTTAACATAACGGGCTTCACGTGCGAAGCCACAAAAATTAAAAAGCTAAGCCGAGCTTTGCCTGCTGCAAGAGCACATCTAGCACATGTGAATGCAGACAAGCCCTCCATCATATTCTTAAAACTGTCCTTCCATGCCCAACCAGAGGGAATATGCCACCCTGGGTCTTTGGAGAGGGGCGGCATATAAATTGAATAAATAAGATAAAATAAACTTGAATAAGCAAGATTATTACAGATGGAATTGCTGCCTGCTCTTCCATCCTTGCCATAGGACCAGCCAAGATGGCTCCTATGCATCTTCCTGCTGGTTTGCTCCCCAATTTGCTGCTGATGGAAAGGTGCCCTTGGCAAGATCAAAGCCTTCTCTTCCCCTCTAGGCTCCGCCCCCTCTCGCTTGAGCCACGCCTCCCTCGATCTTGCGGAGAACACCTTACCAGAGGAGGAGGATGGGCGGGGCAGGCGCCTCTCGCCCAGGCGAGACTTTGGCTCTTGCCATTGGCTACTTTTAGCCCCAACCCACCAGCTCGTCCAATCGCAAGCCTCGAGATTCTACTCCGCATTTTTCCCAGCCCGCTGAGAGCGAACCTCCTTTTTTTTTTTCCTCTCTCTCTCTCCTTTGTAATACTTTTGGCCTTTGCCGGCTGCCGTCCGGACCAAAGCGCGAATCCTCTCCGGCCGGGGAAAGAAACGAGGGAGCGCGCGGGTTGGCGCTCAGGAAGAACGAAGCTGCACCGGGAAGTGGGGGAGGGGGCCCGGCGGCTCCCTTCCTCCTCAGCCGCGATGTCCGTCCTCAGCTGGAAGCCGTTCGTCTACGGGGGATTGGCCTCGCTGGTGGCCGAATTCGGTGGGTGAGATGGAGAGGGAAAGGCTGGGCCGCGCGCGCATGCGCGGTTCCTAGGACGCCTCCCCTTTCGAGTTTACCGGGCTGTAGGCCACGCCCTTTCCCCCCCCCACCGGTGCCTAGCAACGCCCCAGCCCGACTCCGCTGCGGCCTACCTGCTCAGCCTCGGTCCGCGGAGACCGGGCGAAGAAGGGCAGGGAAGCGTTGGGCGGACTGGTCTTGGCCCAGCTCTCCCCCCTCTCTCCCAAATTACTGTCCAGCAGTTGACCTTGGGTGTCCAGTCAGAATAAAATAGAATAGAAAGGAATAGGAATAGGAATAGAGTAGAATAGAATAGAAAGGAATAGGAATAGAATAGAATAGAACAGAATAAGAAATAATAGGAATAGAATAGAATAGGAATTAGAAATAATAGGAATAGAATAGAATTAGAAATAATAGGAATAGAATAGAATTAGAAATAATGGGAATAGAAAGGAATAGAATAGAATAGGAATTAGAAATAATAGGAATAGAATAGATTAGAATAGAATTAGAAATAATAGGAATAGAATAGAATAGAATAAGAAATAATAGAAATAGAATAGAAATTAGAAATAATAGGAATAGAATAGAATAGATAAGAATAGAATAGAATAGAATTAGAAATAATAGGAATAGAATAGAAAGGAATAGAGTAGAGTAGAGTAGAGTAGAGTAGAGTAGAATAGAATAGAATAGAATAGAATAGAATAGAATAGAATAGAATAGAATAGAATAGAATAGAATAGAATAGAATAGAATAGAATAGCAGAGTTGGAAGGGACCTTGGAGGTCTTCTAGTCCAACCCCCTGCTTAGGCAGGAAACCCTACACCGCTTCATTTCCCTCCCATTATTTTGGAGATTTTTTCCCCCATTATTTTTCCCCCATTATTTTGGAGAAGAGCATCACAATGCCGGGCTTCTTGCTGTGCAGATGCAAGCTGACACCCCCCCAAAAAAGCACCCCAAAGGTGCTTTTTTTTTTTTTTCTTCAAGAGGCAACTGGACTTCCCTGTTTTTCTTTGCAGATGTTTCGCTTCTCATCCAAGAAGCTTCTTCAGCTCTGACTGGATGGTGGGGGGGAATGGAAGGATTTGCCATCCCAGTCAGAGCTGAAGAAACTTCTTGGATAAGAAGCGAAACATCGTCAACAAACAACCACCGCAGAAAGTCCATTTGCCTCTTGAAAAAAAGCTCCTTTGGGACGACCTTGACCTGGATGACTGAGAATCTCCATCGATGTGCAGGTAACAGTAACGGAGTTGGAAGGGACCTTGGAGGTCATCTAGGCCAATGCGCAGGATACCTATACTAGGGATTCAAACCGCCGAACTGCCGACCTTTCTGATCGAGAAGCTCAGTGTCTTAGCCACTGAGCCACCTAGTCAGGCAGGTGTGACACTTACTGTCCAGCCTTTCATCCTAATATTTTCATCTGACAGTTAGGATAAGTACAGGTAGTCGTCGACTTAATGGCCACAATTGAGCCCCCACACTTTTTGTTGCTAGGCGAGCCCCGCAACAAACAACCCTGACCATGGAATTCCCTGCAAAAATAAGATTTCTCCACCTTGATACTCTTTTGAAAGGATGGAGCTGGGGACCAGGGAGACGGAGCCCATGAAGTGGGTTGATTTGATTGTTGTCACCTGGGAGGCTGAGATTAATTGGGTTTTGTATTTGGGATTTTATTTCTGTAACCTGTCCGGGATCACTATGAATTGGGCAGCCGTATACATTTTCTTAATAAATTTTAATAAGAATTGTACCCACTAGAGTTGTAATTCTGAGAATCAGTCAGTCTGCACAAAACTTAAGATGGAAGACTGTCAAAGTCCAAAATCAAGAAAGACGTGCAGAGTTACTTTGAAGCAGATTCCTTTACTGTTCCTCACCACTGGGCAGAAGCTTGCCAAACTAAAGCAATTACTTGTATCATTAAATATATACTCGGAGAAGGTCTAAAACCAAAAACTACTTACTGTCTCTCATTCTTCTGGAATGCACTCCCTCCCTGCCGGGCATCTGGACTACATTTCACGACAAAGACCATTGCAGAATCCCCCCTGATATTCTTTACTACTCTTGGGGCGCTTGTACCATGGAGAATTTTATTAGATAGAGATGGACAGTTTGGCTAGCCTCAAACCCCCTTCGGCTCTAGGGAAAAAAGGCAGGTCTGTGCAGGGGTGGGATTGAAAAATTTCAGCAACCGGTTCACTGCCTGGTTGGCATAGCTGTGGGGGTGTGGCCTACTCGGCCTCCTGCAACACGGTGGGGGGCATTTTCACCCTCCCCAGGCTCCGAAGGCTTTCCTGGAGCATCCAGGAGGGCAAAAACAGCGTCCCCCGGGCTCTGGAGGTTCTCCAGAGGCAGGAAACAGGCTCGTTTCCGGACTTCCAGAAGCCCGTTTTTTGCCCTACCAGAGCATCCGCACACACCCTGGTATCCAAAACAGGTCATGTGGAGACTCCTGGGAGGGGCAGTATCAGCCAGTCCTTGGAACAACAGGTTCGGCGAACCAGATTAAAATTAACATCCGGTTCGCCCGAACCTGTCCAAACTGGCTAAATCCCACTCCTGGGTCTGTGACTGTTCTGTAGTCAATCCTGCAAATTGCGGTACAGCTAACATGTTAGGGCAATCATTAGATGATTTCTGCTATATGATTCAGCAACTTCTTCTATCCTAGGGACCTTCCCTGTGGATCTCACCAAAACACGACTTCAAGTCCAAGGTCAAAGCATTGATTCCCGTTTCCGAGAGATCAAATATCGGGGCATGTTCCATGCCTTGTTCCGCATCTCCAGAGAAGAAGGCATTCTAGCATTGTATTCTGGGTAAGTACAGCTTCCATTTTCTGTTATGCACAGCTTCTTTCCTACTACACGACAGGTAGTCCTCGACTTACAATATTTTGTTTAGTGACCTTTCGACGTTACAACGAGCACTGAGAAAAGTGACTTAGGACTGTTTTTTTCACATGACCACTGCAGAATCTCCATGGTCACGTGATTTATATGGGGATGCTTGACAACTGGCTCATATTGATAGCAATTGCTATGTCCCAGGGGCCTTGTGATCCCCCTATTGGCAACCTTCTGACAAGCAAAGGGGAAATCATTAACAATAGTGCTACTAACTTAACAACTGTAGTGATTCAGTTAACAAATGTGACAAGAAAAGTTGTAAAATGGGGCCAAGCTCACTTAACCAACTTCTGACTTAGTATTGTGGCCCGTACGTGGCCTGTGCAGCTAGTAGCTGATTCAGACAGCGAGGAGGCTGGTGTGCTGCGCCAGCAGCCTGTGCAGCTGGCACTCGAGTTGGACAATGAGGAGGATGGAGAAGATGTGGTGTCAGAGGCGGGGATTTAGCCAGGGCCTTCAGAACCTCCAGAAGCTCCCTTAAGTGAAGAGGAAGAAGAGGAGGAGCCTCTTTTCGATGCACGGGCGCACAGAGCTGCCAAAAGGCAGGAGTGGCTCCTCAGGAGGAGGTCTCCTCGAGAGTAAGGCTTGGGGCTAATTGGCCACTCCCTTAGCCTATTTAAGGAGGAACGTCGACTGAAGCAATTTGCAGGGAACAACTTCGTTCACATACCTTCGTGTCTTGTCTTGCTTATTTTATCAGCTTCCTGGAAATTGCTTCTGGGCATTCTGCCAAGCACAGTAAGCTTTCAGTATTATTCTCTGAATTCTTGGCGGCTGTTAATGCAGTTAGTTAACAGCCATTGTTGTAAAAAACTGGTTTATTTAGTAAACTAAGGCTTGAACGGACTTTGTGTGTGCTGTGTTCTTTGGGGTCCGTAGCTGGGGCAGAACATTTAGCAATCAAAATTTTGGGGTCAATTGTACATTGAGGACTACCTGTACAGCAATATTGTTGGGATCACACAAAAGACTTTAGCCTATGACTTACAAGGTTCAGACTTGTTTGTTGTTGGGCTTGGCTAAATGAAGTGTGGGAGTGCTGCTGTTTTCCTAAGCTGAATCATTGTTGTTCTTTGTGTGTTGCAGCATTGCACCGGCATTATTAAGACAAGCATCTTACGGCACTATAAAGATTGGTATATACCAGAGTTTGAAACGACTTTTTGTGCACCGTTTAGAAGGTTGGTATGCTAAGAAAATCTTATGGCTCTTCCCTCCTCCCTCCCCTTCACAAAGATATAAAGTGTCAGATCAATTAATTAATAGATAATCAATCTGGCTGTGGCTCACCTGAGCTGCTTGGAGTTTCAGATTCCCAAGATGGCCAAAGAGAGCGCTAGGCTCCGTGGGACGGTCATTTATGACCGCCAGCCCTGTGTCTCCGTAGAAGCAGTTTTGACAGCGCAAATCAGCTGTCAAACGGCTGAAAAAACTCTCCTTCGGGAAAAGAAGGAGAGGAGAGCCGGTGGGCGAGAGTAGAGCCCCCCGAAAGCTCTCTGGATCATTTCCAGAGGCTTGGAGGGTGTGAGCTCCTCAGACAGCCCGCCAAGAAGCTCCGGAGCCAGGATGTCCCTGCAAAAGCAGGGCGAGAAGCCGCAATCCGATCCTGCTTTTAAAACGTGAGTTTTAGAGGGTCGCTGAAGCACTTGGAGGCTTATCTGTGTCCTCAATGACCCTCTAAAAGGATGCAAATGACCAGCTGTCTTCAAGGAATATAAATCCTTCCATTCCCCACCATCCAGTCAGAGCTGAAGAAGCTTCTTGGGTGAGAAGCGAAACGTCTTCAAAGAAAAAACCAGAAAGTCCGGTTGCCTCTTGAAAAAAGTACCTTTGGGACAACCATGACCTGGATGACTGAGAATCTCCACAGGCATTAGAATCCAGTGCTTTTCTTCTTAAAAACACACACCTCTGATGCAGTCATTTTGACACTCGTTCCAAAATTCAAAACGGGGGAATGTCACGCCGATAAAAATCCAGGTGTTATGCTGCCCTGCCTGCCTTTTCATCGCCCACCAAGTTGCCCCTGCCTACACTATCACATATGCTGTGCGTTGTGGTCTCTGCTTATGGAAACTATGTCTTAAATGTTTGTTTTCCTGCAGGCCCTGGGCAGAGAGTGACCCGGTCTCTTTGAAGAGTGCTGCGGTCAGTACCCCTGCCCTCCCCAGCCTAACTCTGCTCTAACTCTTGGCTTTTCCTTTCTGAACTAATTCTCTAATCACATTGGCTGGGGTGTTTTTTTTTAATTCAGGTTCTCAGATTCTACTGAATCTCTATCAAAAATTGTCCCAAAGGATTTGTGGACTTCAACTTCCAGAATTCCTCAGCCAGCTGGGAGTTAAAGGCCACAAGTCTTAAAGTTGCCAAGTTTGGAGACCCCTGCTCTAAAAGGATGCAAATTTCCTGTTTGCAAGGAATATAAATCCTCCCATTCCCCACCATCCTGTCAGAGCTGAAGAAGCTTCTTGGATGAGAAGCAAAATGTCTTCAAAAGAAAAAAAACAAAGTCCAGTTGCCTCCTGAAAAGGCACCTTTGGGACAACCATGACTTGGATGACTGTACAGACTTTCTATCAAAAATTCTTTCTGCGTACATACCTCCCAGGAAGCTTGAGGGATTGGGTGGCATTCCTTTTTTTTAGAATCTTAACAATCCTGGGAAAAAAAGCAAGGAAATTGGTTGATCTACTTCCTGCTTTATACTCTTAACGATCTGGAAAAGAATGGTTTGATTGGAATCCTGAAGATTTGCAATATCTTTAGGTACAAGAAAGAGATGGTTAGAAAATCTGAGCACCTGGTCTTTCCCTAAAATAAATAATAAATTTTATATATAAAGGAAGATATATTCTTTTTCATCTTTACTTTTCCTTCCTGTAATCTACTTCTATTGCTTTTTCTCCTTGAGCAGAATTTTGCCTTATATCATGTTCTCCCTAATTGCAGATGAGACGTTATTGATCAATGTCATCTGTGGAGTGATATCGGGGGTGATTTCGTCCGCTCTGGCTAATCCAACAGATGTCCTAAAGGTAAGAAGTCAGTAATGGTAACAGAGTTGGAAGGGAACTTGGAGGTCATCTAGTCCAACCCCCACTCACGCAGGAGACCTATACTCGGGATTCGAACCGCCGAACTGCCGACCTTTCGGATCGACAAGCTCAGCGTCTTAGCCACTGTGTGTACTTATTGCTGGTCTGTTGCAGAAATTTTACTTTCTGGCAGCTTTCAAATTCTATAAACGGTTTGATTCTATCTCTATCAATACAGGTAGTCCTTGGCTTAGCACAGTTCATTTAGTGACCGTTCACTACAACGGTCCCTGAAACAAGTGACTGAAGCTACAACATCCCTGAAACAAGTGACTGATGACCGTTTTTCATACTTAACGGCCATCACAGCATCCCCGTGGTCAGGTGATCAACATTCGGAGGCTTGGCAACAGACTCTATTTATGACGGTTGCAATGTTCCAGGGTCACATGATCCCCTTCTGCAACCTTCCAACAAGCAAAAGTCAATGGGGAAGCCAGATTCACTTAACAACCACGTTACTAACTTCATAACTGCAGTGATTCACTTAACAAGCAGAGCAAGAAAAGTGGTAAAATGGAGGCAAAATACACTTAACGAATGTTTCACTTTAGCCACAGACATTCTGGGCTCAGTTGTGGTTGTAAGTGGAGGACTACCTGTAAAATCGGGTCAGTTACATGGGTGCCTCGACTTATGACTGAAGCGGAGGCTAGAATTGCCTTTTTCAGTCATGATGTTGTAAGTCGAGGCACCCATTTAACTGACCTAATTTTATGACCTTTTCTGCGGCAGTCGTTAAGTGAACCAGTGCTTTCCTAGGGATATTTTTGGCTGGGGAAAATATATATATATAGGTAGTTTCTGGCCAAAATGTCACAAATCTTGTCACGTGACCATGCGATTCTGAAACAGGCTGTAAAAGGTGAGCTGGCTGCCAAGCATCTGAAATGCAGGGATGTCCCTTTTGGGGGAATCTGTTCTAACTTCAAACAGTTGCTAAGTGACTAGCAAGGACTTTTTCTATATCCTAAGGAATCTGCCTAGTAAAACTTTTAGAGCAGGGGTCACCAACCTTTCGGACCTCAGGGACCACTGCATTCATAATTTTAAACCCCACGGACCACTAATATGAATTTTTAAAAAAAGATAAACAGTATTTAGTGCAATATAAAAAACGCAAATAGTTTTTCTCGTGGACCACCAGTGCTCTGCGGACCACCAGTTGGTGACCGCTGTTTTAGAGCCTGTTCTTGCAGGCTTGATCCAGCTATCAAAGACTAGCAATGGCAACTCACTAGACTAGCTATGGCAAGAACTGGGCATGGCTAGTCTAGTAAAGAGAAGGACCAGGGGAGACAGGATAGCAGTCTTCCAATATTTGAGGGGCTGCCACAGAGAGGAGGGGGGGGGGTGTCAAGCTGTTTTCCAAAGCCACCCGAAGGCCAGACAAAGAACAATGGATGGAAACTGATCAAAGGAGAGATTCAACCTAGAAATAAGGAGACATTTTCTGACAGTGAGAGCAATCAAACAATGAAACAGAAGTTGCCTTCAGAAGTTGCGGGAGCTTCATCACTGGAGGCTTTCAAGAAGAGACTGGACAAGACGCTTGTCAGAAATGGTATAGGGCCGTGATGGTGAACCTATGGCACGCATGCCAGAGGTGGCACATGAGCTGTGCAGGCATGCGTGCCTCCCACTGGCTAGCTGGTCTTTTGGGTCTCTGCCGCGCATGGACGGAGGCCGGGAGCGTGTGGGAGGGCGTGCGCAGGGGGCGTGGGCAGGGGACTGCATGCACATTGCATTTTGGGAGTTTGGGTGCACACACACGCCTTCACATGCGCACATGCACGCTTTGGGCACACAGTCTGGAAAAGGTTAGCCATCACTGGTATAGTGTCTCCTGCGTGAGCAAGGGGTTGTATGACCTACAAATTCTCTTCCAACTCTTGTTATTCTGCATTCTGTATCTGACCTTTCCCAATCTATGCTAGCATGGGATTCTAGAAACTCTGATTTCTGTCCACCTAAAGAGCACCAGATGGGAAGAAGGCAGGTGTAAAGGAAACGATGATAGAGAAAGAGGGAAGCAGCTGTAAGAGCCTGGGTTACCCTACAAGGCTGGGAATGAATATTCATGCTTTGTACCTTGGCCTCCAAGCAATAATGTTGGGTCGTGGGTGGCTTTCCTATTTCCACCAACTTCCCTGCTCTCTTCATTTTTAGATTCGAATGCAAGCTCAGGGCAGCCTGTTCCAGGGCGGCATGATAGGAAGCTTCATAGACATCTACCAGCAAGAAGGCACGAGGGGCCTCTGGAGGGTAAGAGCTTCTTATATTCCCTCCCACTCTCCCATGTGTTTTGTTGTCGCTTCCACAGGAAAATATGGAGAAGGCTTGTCTAAGACTACGTTTTTATTATGTTTATATTCTGACTTCCCTCGGGTGGCAATACTCTCTGAATTTGGTTCTTTTCCTTGCAGGCGTTTCATTACCAAATTAGGTAACTTCATCAATGCTAGAAGGGGGTGGGGTTTGTGGAGTGGAGGAAGAGGAGGACTTGTGGGGTCCATGGTACTCTCTTAAGTTTAGTTGTGTTCTTGCAGGTGTTTCATTATCTATTTAGGTAACATCATCAGCTCTCTGATTTCCCTCTGAGAACTCACAGTAGCGCTCCAAAGAATCATGCATCCTCATTTCATTGTCACTTCAATAATGCTGTGAGTTTGGTTGGTCTAAAAGAGAGTATTACTGGCTCAAACCTGACCAGGGCCTTCCACTATTATGAGCCTTGGTGATGCAGTGGTTAAAATGCAGTATTGCAGGCTAATTCTGCCCACTGCCAGGAGTTCCATCCTGACCGGTTCAAGGTTGACTCAGCCTTCCATCCTTCCGAGGTGGGTAAAATGAGGACCAGATTGTTGGGGGGCAAGATGCTGACTCTGTAAACCACTTAGAGAGGGCTGTGAAGTGGTGTATAAGTCTAAGTGGTATAGCTATTGCCCTTCCTTCCTTCCTTCCTTCCTTCCTTCCTTCCTTCCTTCCTTCCTTCCTTCCTTCTTCCTTCCTTCCTTCCTTCCTTCCCTCCCTCCCTCCCTCCCTCCCCTCCCTCCCTCCCTCCCTCCCAGTGATTAGAATGCAGTGTTACAGGCTAATTCTGCCCACTGCCAGGAATTCGATCCTGACCGGCTCCAGGTTGACTCAGCCTTCCATCCTTCCGAGGTGGGTAAAATGAGGACCCAGATTGTTGTGGGGGGCAATATGTTGACTCTGTAAACCGCTTAGAGAGGGCTGTAAAGCACTGTGAAGCGGTATATAAATCTAAGTGCTAAGTGCTGTTCAGTGGAGATTTGAACGTGCTGTCCATCATTCTCATCCAACAAGCTTCTTCAGCTTTGACAGGACAGAGGGGAATGGAAGGAATTTAAGATTCAGCCCTTAGACAGATGTAGATTATTCTAGAATTTTTAGAAACAGTTGTGTATGAAAGAAAGTTATAAACATGGTGGTAGCAATCACAAAATTTTTTAAAAAAATATTGGGAGAGAGATCTCTAGTAGTGGAATAATTTTAATGCTTTCCCTCAATTGAAGCGTTGTCCTTCTTTATCAAGGTCCCTTATTTTTGATTTTCAGGAACCAGTCAGTAAGACCCTAATTCTCTAGAGCAGGACTGTCAAACTCAAGGCCCGGGGGCCGAATCTGGCCCGTGGGGTGCTTAGATCTGCCCGCAGTGCTTCTGCCAGTGAAAATGGAGCTCGTGAGGGCTGTGGACGGCCCTCCCGAGCTTCGTTTCGCTGGCAGAGGGTTGCAGGAGGCCATCACAGCCGAAAATGGAGCTCAGGAGCCCGTTTTCGCTGGCTGAGCGCTTGGGCCACCACAGGTGGCCCCCTGACACGACTGACATCGAGCTGGCCACGCCCACCCTGGCCCCCCAAGGTCGAACACAACCCTGATGTGGCCCTCAATGAAATCGAGTTTGACACCCCTGCTCTAGAGGAACGACAATGGCAAAGGAAGAAAGCAAAATAACGCAAACCGGAATAATGCATAGCAAATACTAGTTTTTAATTTTCGGTATTGACACTTCTTAATGAAATCAGGATTTTGTCGAAAGAGAAGTTGATAAATCAGGTGTATAGATCTACCTTTTTAAAGGGGTTTTGTAAACAAAGAGTCTTGAGATCAGAGCTAAATGCCAGCGGACCGTTTTTTTCCTTGTGAAAAAAATGAAGCAACCTGCAAACTTCAAAACAGTTAAGGATGGGATAAATGGAAGTGATACGATAGTGGGTCATTGATGGAGAAGTGGCGGTTGAAGCCATTCTAACTTCTGGTCTTTTCTTCGGCTAGGGTGTGGTTCCCACGGCTCAGCGAGCTGCCATTGTGGTAGGAGTTGAGTTACCAGTCTATGACATCACCAAGAAACATTTAATACTTTCGGGAGTCATGGGAGACACAATTCTGACACATTTTATGTGAGTACCTGCTGGTTAACCTAAATGTATTTTTCTCAAGTTGTGTAGCTTGTGAAATGAGGCATGGATTGTGGGCATGGAGTAGTCAAGAGCTCAACATTTTGGCATTTTCCCCTGTGACTTCTGCACATCATGCATCCTTCCAGTGGGTGGATACCGGTATTGCACTAAGCCACATTATGGACTTGTTTAGTTTTGATTCAGTATGACATGTGAACCCGGCTCTATAAATCAAGATTTATGGCCCAATATTAAGCGTAATCTAGAGCTTGTAGCATTTAAATAGAGCGAGAACAAATCTGAACCCGTGTTAGAAATTGTAAGGCGCAAAGAGACTACGCTGTCAAAGCCATCTTCCGGTGAGGCACCAGTATTACTGTCCTTAAAACTTTACGTGAGTTGTGGAAAACTCCGGGGAAGAATCGGTCATTCTGCCACCCGCCAACTAAAACTTGGGGTTTCCGTCGCACATTTTCTCCCAAGAATTGTATTAGGCCCGTTCCTGAAATCAGTGCCACATTAGAAGGAAAGATGTCACAACCTCTAGTTACTCTGTGAGATGCACCAGCTTTTCAATGGTTTCTTCTATGCTTCTCTGTCCAGTTCCAGTTTTACGTGTGGACTGGCTGGTGCCGTAGCTTCCAATCCAGTGGATGTGGTTCGAACCCGCATGATGAATCAGCGGGCCATAGTGGGAACTGTGGAGCTGTATAGGGGAACAATGGACGGCCTGTTAAAGGTAAGAACTACAGGGTAACCATCTTGAGGGAGTCAGGATTAGTGTGGTGTAGTGGTTCAGAGGTGCTGGACTAATAGTAGGGGCACCTGGTTCATTCTCGCTCTAAGTCATGGTTGACTTTGTCCCTATCTCCTCCTCTACCGCCTACGTTTCTTGCTGTGGTGGGAGCAGAATAGAGTAGAGTAGAACAGAACAGAACAGAACAGAACAGAACAGAAAACAGAACGTAGAGTAGAATAGAATAGAATAGAATAGAATAGAATAGAATAGAATAGAATAGAATAGAATAGAATAGAATAACAGAGTTGGAAGGGACCTTGGAGGTCTTCTAGTCCAACCCCCTGCTTAGGCAGGAAACCCTACACCACTTCAGACAAATGGTTGTCCAGTCTCTTCTTAAAAACTTCCAGTGTTGGAGCATTCACAACTTCTGGAGGCAAGTTGTTCCACTGATGAATTGTTCTCACTGTCAGGAAATTTCTCCTTAGTTCTAAGTTGCTTCTCTCCTTGATTAGTTTCCACCCATTGCTTCTTGTCCTACCCTCAGGTGAGGGTATATAGTATATAGGGGTGAAATGGGAATCCCCTTATGGGGTACTCCAAGCTCCTAAATAAAGGCAGGATGTAAATCTAAGAAATGTTGGGGGCAACACAGAAGGTGTAAATCAGGACGTATTTCTATTTTTTTTTTAATTTTAAAAAACAAACTATTGAATTTAAAAATATTAACAAACAAAAAAAAAAGAAAATATACAAATTTTATCACTCTTAAAATTTACATTTTCAATCCATAATTATACTAACAAACTAAATACATGTGATTATATAAACACATATATACAAATATACAGTGACTTATTTACCTTTTCTATCTATCTGACGGTGCATTTTTTTTTATTTTTTGCATTTCCTCTAATTCTTATCTTTACCCTTTTTTCCTTTGGTTTATCCACTTATACCATCTATTCCATACTATAAAATATTTTGAGTCTTCCTTATCTTTTAATTCTAGAGTTAATTTATCAATTTCTGCGCATGTATAGATTTTTTGTATTACTTCCTGATCTGTTGGCATACGATCTGTTTTCCACAATTGTGCTATAGCCAGTCTGGCCGCCGTAATTATGTGTAGTATCAAGTATTTTATGTCTTTTCTAATATTCCTTTTTATCATGCCTAGTAAGAAAACTTCCGGTTCTAATTCAATTTCTTGATCTGTTATTTCTACTATCCATGTTTTTATTTTTTTCCAATATTTCTTTATTTCTGGGCAAAGCCACCAAACATGGAAAAAAGTACCCTGCGCTTTTTTACATTTCCAGCAAACAGGATTTACATCCGGGTACATTTTAGCTAGTCTTGAGGGAGCCAGATACCATCTATACCACATTGTCAGCGCTCCAAACTATGATTCTCCTTGTATGGTGCCGATTTTTGTCATACTATAATTATTTTCCCATACCCTCTCCCAGTCTTCTAACTGTATATCAGGACGTATTTCTAATGTGGTTTCTTATCGCCTCTACAGACTTGGAAAAGTGAGGGTTTCTTTGCACTTTACAAAGGTTTCTGGCCAAATTGGTTGAGACTTGGTCCCTGGAATATCATTGTATCCTTTTGTACACAAGACCAGAGGCACCATCATGTAGGGAAAACTGGGGAATGTTTCTGAAACAATTATCCATCATAGCCAAAAGTTTTGTAGATGTGGCAAATTTCCTGCAAATGCTGAAGTTACTCAAAGCTATTCTGATCTAATTCAGCATGTTGTGTGAACCTGTTTGTTATTATATACCAGAACAATAACTCATAAAGTTAAACAACAATTTGCTCTGTGCACTTAATTTGGATTGTTGTATCAACCTCCTGGGTTTACACAAGGTTTTGAGTGACTAATCGATCGCATTTGATTCACACCACTTGCTGAATCCCGAAAGCGTAGGAAGCTAAGGGTCAAATTTAGGCACCCTTGACCTGCTGTGCAAAGGGAGCTTCTGAATTTTTAACCGATACGATTAAAGATCAATTTAGCCTCCTAGAATGATTTGTTCTGCAAGAGACATTTGAACAGTGTATTTTTGTTTGGGGCCTCTTGATGTAGCCAGCCCACATGAATTTGGGAGTTGAATAATTCTACACATTTCGGGGCAGCAGAGAAGAGCTAGCTGGGTAGATTCTATCCTTATCAAATCTAGTTGCTGGATCTTTCAGGCCTGGGATAGGTTCCTGCTCAAGTGATAGGAGAATCCTGCCAAATTTGATATTCAGGATGCACTCAGGATATTAGCTAATCTTTGGGTAGCTATCCAGAGCTGTTCCTTCTACTGGAGCGATATAAAATATCTTATCCCCTTCTTTTTCTTACCATGGCTCTCCTGCATTAGTATCCTAGATAATGATTAGCCATTATAATTCCAAATTTTGTGTGTGTGCGTAGGGAAATCAGGGCTGTTAATTTGTTTATTGCTTTTAATTTTTGCCTTCTTTTCACACTAACATATTCCCTTGATTTCTGCAATTCTAACCGCCGTAAGTCCGCTTGGGCTCTTGGGATCGTTGAAATGCAAAACTAGATGTGTTAACTTAGCTGGAAATGAAACCCGGAGGAGGGAAGAAGGGAAAGATTAGAAATTCCTCCTTTTGAAATTTATTTCTTTAACTCAATGGCAGTTTTTTATCACCTACGAGCAGCTGAAGAGACTCCCTTTTTAAGGTGCCTGGTCATCCAGCTACCTTTCCGTTCCTCTCCATTCCTGCATCTTCATGTGGTTTTTTTTGTTTTGTCTACATGGACTTTTGTTTTACCCTCCCATGTGCTGAGTGCTCAGTATTGGGAGGGTGGCTTAAGGGGGAAGGGGAGGATGGGTCCACAAATACAGTATTCAGAGCCTGGTGCACGTGCTTTCCCACTCCCACGGGGGACGGTGGAACATGGAGGGAGAGCACTTAGGTCTGTGTTTGTATCTTCCATGAAGAGAGCTGCAAGTTAAAAATCCTTTTCACTGCCATGTGGCTTTTGCAGTAGGCAATTCTGCAAAAGGGGGCTGCTGCAGGTCTCCTTTCATTGTCATATAAACCCCATTAAACTATTTATTGGAATCCAATCCTGTGGTGCGTGTGCATTTGTATTTCTGCAAATATTAAAATTTTTCTTAAATTAGGACAGGCAGCGCCTGCCTGCTTAAACAGGTCTCTTTTTAAAAGGAGGAAATAAGAATTGCCTGTCCAGTTACACGATTTATGCACCTGCCAGGCTTAATGTCCCCTGAATCCTGATCTGGTATTTTTGCAAACATATTGAAATCTAGAGAAAGGCTCACCTGAGTAATCCTCACAATTCATCCAGTGAATTGTAGCTTCTGGTTGACTGCCAGATAACTCGCCTGAGAAGAACGAAAAATCAGAAAGAGCCTGATTTTTAGCAGCTCCTAAAAGCTCATGTCTTTTAATAAAATCAGTTAGTTGATTCTCCTGGACTCGAAGCCTGATTTTTTTGACTTACAATCAATCAACATAGCTTCTCTCCTACGAAGAACCTTACATTTCCCATCACCGTTTACATTGAGCAGATAAAAACAGCTTTTCAGAATCGTGGCTATCCAAGACATGATATGGATAGAGATGTCATTAGCAAAAAGCAATGAATCCTGACTACGCGATTCATCTACAACAGGTGCATGACAACACAGTGGGCAATAAAAATAGCCATGCAGCAAGTGCCTGGGGAGAGGGGTGTTACAATTATGAAAGAAAATAGAACAGAGTTTCACCCCTCATGGATTCTTCAGCCCTTAAGCAAGCAGAAACACACGTGACAGTTCCGTGCATAGCCAGGATCTCCACAATATTGGTCACAGCCTAGCAAATGTATAGAATTGGATGATCCTCACTTCCTTGGTCCTGTTGTGAGCTAGGCTTCCCAAGCACATGAAGCAGACCCCTTGTCCTGACAAAATCTCTTTTTATTAAGTTACTGTGAATTCTTCTCTTTCACATCCAGCAAAGTCTTTCAAGGGAGAATTTACAGTCACAGACCTTATCTGGCTTGGAGAACGGCCAGGCCGATATCTTCAAAAGTTGGCAAGGAATCACGAACCAATCAAGCGAACTTAACTATCTCCTGCAAACTCCCTTCCCCTTTCGCTCCTCTTTTATTCCCTCTGGAAGGGGCCCTTCATCGTCTATCTGTGGCCTTACTCTCGAGTCAACCCTTGTTCTTTAGCTGTTCCTTTTGTCTGGCAACTCTGTGCATGCACACACTGGGAACAGGCTCCAGCTATTCGTCTGCCTCACTGATGTCCGACTCCGAAGGCAGCTGATAATGGGCATTCGGCCCTGGTCCCCACTCTGCCTCCCACGCAGAGCCCTCGTCAGAGCCTTCCCCAGACTCCAGGACTGACCCATGTTCCTCCCCAACCTCCTCACTGTCCGAATCTGCCGCCACCTCCGCTGACGGGCCTCAACAGGTCCATCTGAAGTGGTTTGTGGAATTGACATTGGAAGTTTTCCCAGTCACAAAAGTCCTTCACCCACACTGGTCAGATGGACCCGATATCTTCTTTGTTACAACTTCTTGGGGACAACACTCCAACCACTGTCGACGAGAGACCCGGCCGGCAGCTCTCACAGATGGCATTTCAGCTCGATTTCCCCCCTAATGGGCTCCAGCACATTTGCTAATATTCCTCCCATTCGGGGTTTCTTCAGCCATCGTTTCCTCCTCCATGTTTGTTTTTGTAAGGGCAAACACAATCAAGGGACAATAAAAATGGACTCAAGGGGTAATCGCTCGGAGCTTATGTTTGCATACTCCAGGTTTTCTTGGCATCATTGGCGCAATTAAGCACCGAGAGTTATTAAAGTTTGGATAAATGCTCTCCTTCCTTAGCAGCGATATCCCACAAGATTTTTCATTAGCCAATGGCTTGCTTGCAGAGAATGGTTGTTTACCACCTGGAAGGAATTGAAAAACGTAAGCCATTAATTTCCTCCTCTGCTCTGTCTTCCCCCAATATTATGATCACGTAATCACGTATTGTATATGCGCTAGTCATTCCCGACTCTGGGCGGTGCTCACCTCTGTTTCAAAGCCGAACAGCCAGCGCTGTCCAAAGACGTCTCCGTAGTCATGTGGCTGGCATGATTCAACGCCAAAGGCACACGGAACGCTGTTCCCTTCCCACCAAAGGTGGTCCCTATTTTTCTACTTTTTTTTTTACGTGTTTTTGAACTGCTAGGTTGGCAGAAGCTGGGGCAAGTAACGGAAGCTCACCCCGTTACGCAGTGCTTGGGATTCGAACCGCTGAACTGGTGACCTTTCTGAACAATGAGCTCAGCGTCTTGGCCACTGAGCCACTGCGTCCCCTCTATGATTGCCTAGAACTGAGAATTGTTTACAGGGATAACCAAATGATAATACTGCCAGAAAAGCCTGTAAAGCAGAAGCCTCCAATCTTGGCAAACTTTAAAACACGTGGACTTCAATTCCCAGAATTCCCCACCCAGCAGAGTTATGGGAGTTGAAGTCCACAAGTCTTAAAGTTGCCAAGATTTGGAGACCTGCTGTAAAGCATTGTTGCCTTCTAGGCTGCAATCTGCAGGGTAGAATAAAGCATCCCTAATTCATGGGATTGTAAAATCTGGAGGACATTGACATCAGCTTGTGTCCCGTCCTCCGTTTGCATGCTTAATTTTCTTCCGGTTTTCTTCTCGGGAGTTAGAATGATAATGGACCTCATTGCTTTCTCCATCACAGCAACATTGTGAAGTAGATTAGGTTGATCCAAAAGTGCTTTTTCAAGAGGCATGGCTTGGTGAGTGTGGCATGGCTTGGTGGACGTGGCAGGGGAAGGATACTGTAAAATCTCCATTCCCGCCCCATTCCAGGGGAAGGGTACTGCAAAATCTCCATTCCCACCCCACTCCAGGGGAAGGATACTGCAAAATCCCCATTCGCGCCCCACTCCTGGGGGAAGGATATTGCAAAATCTCCATTCCCACCCCCCTCTGGGGCCAGCCAGAGGTGGTATTTGCCTGTTTTCCGAACTACTCAAAATTTCTGCTACCGGTTCTCCAGAACCTGTCAGAACCTGCTGGATTTCAGCCCTGGGTTAAGGCCTTCTGCTCAGGATTGGCCAAGACAAAAAGCATAAACTAGGAACTTCTGGCTGTAATCTAGCAGGAGCAAACTTTAGCCCTCAACTACTTTGGCTGGGGTCTTGGAGTCTTCACTGACAGTTTGCTGCCATGTTGTGGTGCAAATGCATTAAAATTATGCAATCCTTATATAGGAATATCAGCTTGAAAGACATGAGCAACAGTTGGATGCTGCCAGAGGGAAGGAAAAATCTCCTCTCGACGTCCTTCCAATGGTAAATGTGGCCTTTGAACATCCCCATCTTAATCTCACACTGCACCAGATATCAGTTTAAACATTTCCCAATTCGGCCTTTTATGACTCCGGCTTCCTTGGTCCTGCTGTATCACGTGGCCTATGTTGTCACTAATAATGCACAAACAAAGCTAATCCAGTTTGTATTCATCAAGGTGTGATACCTGCCTTCCGTTTCCATAGAGAAGATACGCAAGCGTTATATAACTAGAAGCTTTTGAAACCTCCAGGTTCCACTTCCTGCTTTTCCATGGCTCATTTATCAGGATCCAAGCGATTAATGGGTTGGGGAGTAAATATGGTCCATCTGCCCATCTAATCGGACAGGAAGTCGTCAGGATGCGAGCTCTTCGCGAACAGTGGAAAATATAAGTAATTTTATAAACTTAATGGAGTGGAACTCCACGCTGGGTTGGCTGCATTGTAAAAATAAAATGTGTTCCTTTTTTTCGTCAGAAATGAACAACTTCACAGTACTGTATTTCCTCCATTTTTTTTTATTGTGCTATGTTTATGGGAGCCAAAGAGTAAAAACCTCAAGACTGTCGACCTCAACTGACTGCAGGGATGCACCCTTAGTTGACCCTGTCCTTGTAAAAAGCATCAATTAACCCTCTATAGAAAATCAACTGTATGTTATGACTCAGCTGTCATTACCCTTTTGTCACAACTCATGGAAACAGTGCACAACCAGCCTGCGGTGCCTCTGCCAGTAAAAATGGAGCTCGGGAGGCCTGGCAGAGGGCTGCAGGAGGATCCCCACCACCACAGGTGCCCCCGAAAAAAGTGATGTCGAGCTGGCCACACACCCCTGGCCATGCCCCCCCCAGGCACCCAGAGATCAAACAGAACCCTGATGCGGCCCTCAATGAAATCGAGTTTGACACCCCCGATGTACAGGTAAAGGTAAAGGTTCCCCTCACACATATATGCTAGTTGTTCCCGACTCTAGGGGGCGGTGCTCATCTCCGTTTCAAAGCCAAAGAGCCAGGGCTGTCCGAAGACGTCTCCATGGTCATGTGGCCGGCATGACTCAACGCCAAAGGCGCACAGAACGCTGTTACCTTCCCACCAAAGGTGGTCCCTATTTTTCTACTTGCATTTTTTACGTGCTTTCAAACTGCTAGGTTGGCAGAAGCTGGGACAAGTCACGAGAGCTCACCCAGCTACGCGGCACTAGGGATTCGAACCGCTGAACTGCTGACCTTTCGATCGACAAGCTCAGCGTTTTAACCACTGAGCCACCGTGTCCCTCTGATGTACAGTTATGAAGAAATAAATGGCTTTGTAAGTTGGAGATACAATACAGCATTCAAAGTGACCCTGATCATCTTACCGGAGCGGGAAATCAGGAAACTTCATTTCTGCACCGATTTACCATGGGATAACATTGTTTCTGGACAGAAGACTTGGTGACACATATAAGAGAAGAACCTTACCAGGAGATGTGCCCAGAGTGGCATTTTTTTTAGTAATCTACATCAGTCCTTCAGCTGGGCTAGTGAGATTAGATAAAGAGTGGTCCCCCAGGCTGGGTGGGAGCAGCATCAGGCTGACTGTCCAAGTGCAAAAGAGGAAAGATTTTGTTCTTCAGGCACAGACACATCTGACAGATCTCCAGGCGGACTTCCTTCTGCCAATATCCATAGACGAGGGGATTCGCTAGAGAGTTGCACACCCCCAACACCCAGAGGTAGTGTTCCAGCAGGCGAT